TCGGGATGGGTCGCTCCGTCCTTAACTCAAGGTCTAAATCCATGTAGCCGAGAACGATTTCCACATTCTCTTTCCAGATCTTAAAGTTTGTACCATTCAGCATAGGAATGGCACTGATTTGAGCAAAAACATTATTTGCAGTTGCTGAAACTGAATAGAGAACAAAAGCAACATATAATCAATAATAATATAAATTACAAAGGCAAGATACCCAACACAACTTGACATTTAGTGTTTGCACAGAAACATCAATTGTAAATGGTACTCTCAACGCAACAATCAAACATTGATAATAAATCCTGTCAAACAATAGCCTTTCTTTGGACCGACTACTATTCACATGGATAATAGCTTTACGATATCAATATTTATCATCGCATGTGTGTTCACTGCCCAGCCAAACATCAACCTTCCTTTGGGCCGACCAATGTCCGCATGGACAATGAGCACACAAAATCTTTATATTTCAAATCAAATTAATTTTACATTGCAGATGCTACTTTGGTAACATGCTGCTTCAATCAATTTAATTTGAAAAGAAAAAAAAAGTATTCATCCAAAACTGTATTCATCGCATGCATGACAAAGTCAAAAAAAGGTTCAAGGTTACTTCCATGCAAAAGGAGAGAAAAACGGACGCATGCAAATTGCTTACGTGCATGCAAATCACAATTCAAAAAGAAAAATATATTTTTTTGAGTCGGTTTTGTAGACGCTCGAATCACTGATGTGAATTCTTGGGTTCTAGAGACGCATCGCAACACTGATGCATCGTTGTTTTTTTTTTTTTTTTTGGTTCTAGAGATGCATCGCAACACTGATGCGTCTTCCCCCTTTTTTTTTGGTTGACTGAAACAGCATTGAATCATCACAATGCGTCTTTGTTTTTTTTTTTTTGTCGAAACAACCTTGCTTCATGGCTGTTTGGTAAGCACACAGCCGAACAACTGTATCCTCAATCGAGACGCAACCACAAAGAAATCGATTCAGAAAAAAAACGGTAATCCTAATAACCCAACATGATATAAGGCTCTGATACCACTTGTGAGAAAATAAAGGGGGAGCAAGCAATCCTAATCTTGTAGAATCATACCAATACCATACAATACACGAAGAACAAGAAGCCACGTTGCACCCCAAAGTATATCATGTTGTAGTTATCAAGGAGGTTCGAATATAAATACATGTATCCATCGTAGTAGTTGAAACCCTTTCGGATTGAGTGATGAATCAATGCTTTTGTCGATTGGTGTGATTTTCCTCAGTTAAATCTTCCTTCTTCCTTAGGTTTTCTCAGCTCTTTGACTCTAATGGGGTAGAGTAAGGAGGGCGGGTAAATGATTTAACATATTGGGAACCATAACTTAGGAGCCTTTATATTTTGACCTAATAGGATCCCATTAAGCATATATGGGCCAAAATGTGGTATCCACTCATTAAGCCCCATACCCTTTTGTTGAAGTCTACGGACTTTGCATAAATGCATCACTTGATTTAACCCATTTACAAGATAGCCCATCAATGCAATTGTTTCACTGAATATGTAAGCCCACTTAAGAGAGATTAAAACCTAACAACTCAAGGAATAGAAACAAAAGTATAATAGGTGTGGCAACCCATTAAAGTGAAGACCCTGAGCATCACATATGACTAAAGCGCAATATTATTATTAAGCCAAGGAACCGAATTTTTGGGCCATTTGGTGACGAGTAATCCATTAAGTGATCACTTCTTCAACTAGTACTGACTAAACGAAGCAAAAAAATTATTAATATAACCAAGTTAGAGGCAAATGAGTCAGATTAAACTTTAAAAAGTAGTTGTGTTAAAAAGTGAAATCAGACTGAACGTTGAAGAATCAAACTTCCATTAATGCACGAGACTATTAATTCTCAACACAATATAGAGAGAGTCCACCATGGTCCACCATGGGACTTTTACGCTTTGAAAAATGAATAGTCTTTGAGTTCTCATGCAACTAATACGATAACCTACTGACCTGACCTGTCAACTCCTCTACCAGCAGCGGTTCTTGCCGACACAGGGTACTGTTTCTCCATATAAATATATTAATCAACGCAGCTCTTAGTCTTAATTTGAATGCATATGATTTGATTTTGTATAATAAAAATGAGAATAAAATACAACTTCTAAAATTGCAGCACCGTTATGGTATTGCACAGTTGCATTTATATTAAGGAAAAAAGGGTGAATTACGGATGCAAGGATCCCTGGAGGAGATATCAGCCACTGAATGATGGATGACTTGTCCATTAATAGATTTGCATTCAAAATCATGGAAGGTGGCTGACGGGAATGTTGTTTACAAGTTGGGTTTGGATAGAGATGCATCATCTGTATATAGGAACCATGCATAAAGTAAAATTATTTGCTTTTGTATGCAATTATAGAGTAGAAGAGCCAAGGGCATATGGAAAAGGGCTACTTATTGAATGGAAGTAATAAGAAATGATTTAAACACTCATGCATTATCTCATCAATAATATAATGATGATATGTCATTGAATAAAATGAAATGATGAAATAAGATTCCTGTAGCCGACCCCATATGGTTGGTACAAAGCTTAGATGATGATGATCTTAGAAATATATGATGGCGCCCTCGATTGAATCCCATCTCCTAGCTACAATCATCATAGAATGCTGGTCTTTGCCTTTCTCCCTACTCCAGAGCAACAATTAGTTAAAAGAGAGATCATGGATTTTCTTTTGACGAGCTGTTCAAACTTTTCTCAAAGACAATACCAAGGTTTTTAAAATCGAATCAGATAATGAATCGGTTAAGGTTTGGTTCCCAGGTTGCATAGTCTAACCATTCAAACCGAACAGACGACCCATTTTGACACAAAAAAAAGGTTAAACCTCTGAATGGTACGAATGAATTGACCGTCCAAATCAATAGTTTACTGACCAAAAATCAATGATTTTTGATAAAAGAACAGTTTTAAGGTAAAATGGACCTGACCGGTCCTGATTTTCCAGTCAGACCATCCAGTCCAGTCTGGCCATGGATCGTAAAAAAGATGCTATATTCATTTTCAAACTTCAAAGTCATATTTCTACTCTCTGCATGGCTTAATATTAAACAATTTGGTTTGCTTGGCTCTAGAGAGATTTTGGTATTTTTAAATCAAGGAACACCCCTCACCTACCAAGCATAGAAGGAAGAAGAAACGCTCACCAGCTCATGCACAAACCTGTATATATTATTGTGGCACTGTGAATTGTAATTCCAAATGTTTTCAATCTATCATTGTCAAGACTCAAGAGTAACAATATGGGAAATCACATCAACCCCCATTTGATTTGAGATTTGAGAAACCACGGCACGATTTCAGGCCATCTAGTATAGCATCTTTAATAAAGCTGGTACCTAACCTAACTTACTAAAATTTTTCTCTGTCATCAGTGTGGTCCAGTTAATTAAACCACCTCCATTTACTGAAATCAGGTTGTGAAATGAATCTGGGTTGATGAAGAAAAAGAAAATGAAGAAAGGAAAGGTATCTTTTCAAGTTGGGTCCTGTTCCGATTCGACGTCGTTTCAAGTATGGTTCTAGAGCACTACATGCAAAGTGACTAAGTGAGCGCCACCCAGATTTATTGCAGTCAGCACACAAGCAAGCAGCTGCAGCAACCATATGTATCTTGCACTAATAATCTTAATTAATTCAATGTCCCCTAACTTTCTTCTACCCTGTTAGAAATCTGTCAAAGTGACCAATCTCCAATTATATGGTTAGCTATTTCACCCTTATCTGGAGATTTTATTCTTCATCATCAATTGGGGTTAGTGATGAAATAATTAAGACTTCTTGCATCACAAATCATTTCAGAATTATTTTCTTACCAAGTTGAACAGGGTATATGATTAAAGCTTCTCCAAGTCATGAGGATTTTGGTCTCTCATCAGTTTATTACTCTACTGATGAATCATAAATTAATCAGCAATTCCTACTTGATGTGCGGGATATCAAACTAGACTGAGTCTTGAGTCTTGCAATTCACGTAAATATATGATAATTATTAATCTTCCCGTTTACTCACATGACAATCTTAGCCCTTGTACAAATTGAGATCGCAATTTGACCCGTCTCCACACCCCGCTCCGCCTCACCCGTTGGAATGGTTTTTTTTTTTTTTTTATTACTGATTGTGGTTCAGAGAAATCCGAAACTTTCGGGATTGGGGATGGGGCACCCCGAACCCGAACCTGTCCTGACTATATTATGTAACATAATATATATAATTATTAATATATTATACAAAATAATTCTATATAGATTTAAAAATAAATTTATAAGCATAGAAGTAGGAATGATCGGGGGCGGGGTGGGGTAAATTTGGGATTCCCGTAGAATTTTTTGCCTCATCGGGATTCGGGGTGGAGACGAGGCGGGTTATTTGAGTTTGGAGTCGGGGACGGGGCAGGAAAAACCCGGCCCCAAACCCATTCCATTGCCATTCGGCTTCGGCCCATTCCTATGTACAAAAATAAGAAAGAAAAAGGAAGAACAAACTGTGCAAATAGGAATTTTTAAAAGAAAAAAAAATGGTTTTATTATAGCAGAAAAGATAAAATATTTGGTTTAACAAGAACTTTCCTCGGTGACTAGATAAAATATTTTTGATTTGAAATGATCCCGCCACAGTCCACCACCAAGTCATTAGTTCATAAATCATAACCCACCTGATGAAAGGAATCAAAGAGAAATTTCTCGATTCCACACCACTTGTTACGGACGAATCAATCCATAAAGAAGAAGACAAATATGATTATGTAATGATCTTCCCCATATAACCCCACATATCACGGGACTTGGGAGCCTTCGAAATCGGTTTAGTCTTGAGCAACAGAGACCGAAAGAACGGTTGTTAGAAACGTTTAAATTCGTAAGTCTTTGGGTTACAAGGTGAAGGCTAGAGACGAGACGATGGTCAGTAACAGATGGAAAGAAGAAATTAAGGAAGAGCTCCGTCGCCCTTTATTTTCACCGTTTCACGTACTTTTCTTTTGTCAAACATACACCTGTGTTATTCAAAATTTTGCCTTCCTTTTTTGACCTCGACACCCTTATAAAGGCAGCGCCATCCATCAACCCACCCATCCAACAAAAAAACTCTCGTACTTATCTTTATCTTACATCCACCATCCCAGAAGAGAGAGCTAAAGAAACCTAGCTAAGAGAGTTATCAGCCAGAAATTGCTCATTAGAGCTCTCCAGTAACCAAAAGCAAGGCTGTATTGAGAGAAGTACAGAACTACAGACAAATGGGTAACAGTTTAGGCGGAAGAAAAACGGCCAAGATCATGAAGATTGACGGAGAAACGTTCAAGTTAAAGGCTCCGGTGCGAGTTGGGGATGTAGTTAAGGACTACCCAGGTTTCGTTTTAATGGAATCTGAGGCAGTTAAGCACTTTGGTATCCGAGCAAAGCCGTTGGAGCCACAACAGGAACTGAAGCCCAGGAAGCTCTATTTCCTAATTGAACTGCCGACGCTTCCTCAGCAGAAGGTGGCCAGAAGGGTGCGTTCTGGCATACAGATGAGCGCCAAGGACAGGCTGGAGAGTCTAATGCTGTCCCGGAGGTCTACTTCCGACCTTACCATCTTAAAATCCACCAGCGTCATCCCCGACGAGTCCGGACCAGAATCGCCGTCCGGGGCTCTGCGGGTTAAGCTAAGGCTGCCTAAATCACAGGTGGCCAAGCTGATGGAAGAGAGCAGTGATCCCAGCGAGGCAGCTGCGAAGATCATGGACCTTTGCCTCTCGAAGAACAACGGCAACGGCAACGTCGATGGAGTTGCAGGCAGGAGCAATGAGGGGTCGCTCTTGCAGCAACAAACGCAGTGGAAGCCTGGTCTAGGCAGTATCACCGAGACGAGTTGCAAACCGCGTGAGGTATGTTGCTCTGTCTTAACTCGTCGAGTCACACCGAGTTTCCGTTCCGATGATCACTGGGATGACGTTTTATTAGATGAGATAGGTGTGAATCCCAAAGAGGAAGAGAATAAACAACAAAGTTTGGTGGACCTAGGCACTTTAATTTGATTATAACTAAAATAAATTAGCGGACCCATGAACCATGATTGACTTTTTGGGCCTACGCCCACTACGTTCCTTTGTGGAGTTTTCCAAATGGGTTGTGCTTACTCAAGAAAGATTGGGCCCCCAACCCTTAGATTGGAATCCCTTGCTTCCAACGAACCCAATCTCATGGTTGTGGTTCATTTAGCTTGGAAGCAACTCTCGTGTGAATTAGTTCTTTTATCTTTTTTAGTGGAGGAATCTGGGGTCGTTGTCTGGTACACAAAGGACAGTGTACCGTCCTTTTGGGCTTGAAAAAATGTCGACCGCGTGCAAGTAGATGGGACCCGAAAAATCAATCCACCAAGGAGATCCACTCAAAGCCAACCCGGCCCATTGATTTACGAGACCATAATAGTGCATTAGTGTGCATTGTGGAATTAATTAGCACAACAAAGCCAACCCGGCCCATTCAACTTTATACATGATGAAGATTGCATAGAGTAGGCTGCTCTGCTGCCGTGGCTAAATAGCTCTCTCCTACTCTCTCTCTTCTATCAATCTCAAGGTGGGAAAGAAAAGCAGTAGAAAACCAAGGTTTAAGCTTAGACCATTTCAGACCTTTTATCCGTTTATAACATAAGTTTTTTTTTTTGGTAAAATAAATCGTCAGAATCTTCAGAAAATTTTCTGAAATTTTAACCAATTTTTTTATATGATACCACAAAGGCTTTGATCAATTACAACCCTTGGTGAATTTTGGTGAAAATCCATTTAACTGATTCCTACTTTTATGATGCCGGTTTATTGATTGTAAGATTTTTCATATCAAATCTTTCTTAAACCTTTTGTGAAACCAAAACTTCACCAACATCTAGAAACTTATAATTTCTTTTTTATCATCCAAGTCTCAAGACGTAATGGAATTATACTAAATGAGACCGTTTTCCATCAAATCATCATCACTCATGACTATTTCCATATGAAACGTTTCCGATCCTTATTGACACCTGTTCCTGTTCGTCCTCTATCCCCTCAAATTTGAAAACGACTCTAGGGATCCATGTCTCATTCATTAACCACGAGATAAGACGCTTAGTTTTACAAGGAAAAATTCTGTCTTAATCTGATTTTTAATTCCTTCCGTGAAATATTAGACATTGGAGGTAAATGGGAAAGAAACACAGCCACACACAGGTTAGTTGATAACAACTGACAAATTAACTGTCAAGCCTGCCGAGGTGGCTTGACAAAGACGTGGTCATTTTATACACAAATCATGTAATGACACGTGGTAAACATGTAATAAACAGTCAGTGACGTCGATCCAATTCCGATGTAGGAAGCTTAATCCAAAACGTCTCAAAGTCAAATATTTGACCTATTTTCCATCTATCTAATCTCTTTTTTTAACGGCCAACAATAATTCAACACATACAACGGTGATGGGCCATGATTGATTGCCGTGAACCCTAATCAATTAATGTTTGACTTTTAGCCCACCGATCTAGAGCCTAAGTGAAGACAGCTCCAATTTCCCGGGCCCTCTGCATGTGCACATGTTTGTGTACAACTGTGGAATCACGATTCCTTTGGAAGTTTCACATGGCTAATCACGAATTCACGATCATTTTAGGGGAAAAGGGGGGGGGGGGTTGGAACTTGGAACTTGGAAGTCATTGACCCAGATCCGAAAACCCGGAAGTTTTGGGTAATTGGTTAGCGACGCCAAGATCCAACATGGAAGCAAATACTAAATAGTGTTTGTGTAGTTATGTGGTGAGAGTGGGTTATGTGATTTCTTTTGCCTTTTATTATTATCTTATTGATTTCTTCAGGAATCATGATCTCTCCTAATTAATTCTTGTGATTGGTGTGTCTTAATTTGCAGAAACGAGTTGGGTTTTCGCCAATTGTAGAAGGAGAATGTGCCTAGCAAGCAAAAGCAAGGAGAAGCTAATTACTAATGAACCCTTCATTAACTACTGTAATGTCCTAGTGGATCGGAGCTACAACAGTTGAAGGGAGGGTGTATTTAGGATATCTCTCTTTCTCTCATTCCAACCCCAACTTCTTTCTATGTCCTCTCTCCTCTCTGCGTATATGACGGTTCATATGTATAGTTCACTGTATGCGCAAGTGAACAGTGTTTTTTCAGCTGTTTGAAGAAATTGCAAAGGAAAGAAGAGTAAAATCTTAATTACTATATATATATATATATATATATAATTATGTTTATGAAGCGCGAGCTTCCAGAAACATGCAAGAAACAATATCTACTTCAAACTTGAAAGGCCTGTTAATTTCTTTTTCATGGTCTAAGTCAAGTCTAAATCCCCCTCCATTCACGGGAAAATGGGTTACATGCATATATATTTCTGACTATTAAAAATGGAAACTTGTATCAATCATTTTGATCATTTTGTTACGTACTTGACCAATACATCAAAAGCCAAATATTGGAACCTGTCAAGTCAAGCCATTTAGGCTATATTTGGATGTGATGTAAATCAAAGAATCAATGTAAAACTTATATCGGTCCTGTTTTGTATACGTTTGATAAATGAATATAATTATTATCAACGCAAAACTATACATCAGTTAAGTTTTTGTATGCATTTGGATGAAATATAATTTTACGTCGATAATAGATATAAAACATTATCACCTTTAAGGTTTTACATCGATAATCCATGTAAAAACTACGTCACCTTTTTAGGGTACAATAGTAGATGGCCCTTTCCTTTCCCTTATGCGGGCTTCACATGTACTACTCTATTTCAGGTAGCCCTTTCTATGGTTGGAACCATGAGATATAGTATTTGACCAATCCACTAAAAACCCTAAGATGGTCCGAATGCATCAAGCCAAGCTGTTTAACCTCTCGGGCCATAACACAATTCTACATTTCTCAAAATGAATATAGCACTAATTACTTTGAACATCATTAGCAATTTGACGACATTTAAGACAGTATTATACACGGAAAATTAAGCTCGAATATGATCGATTCTAAAGATTAAAAATAATAAAAAAAGGGTTGGTCCACTCAAAATAGTGTAACATAACAGAATATCAAAATTGATGTTCCAAATGTTTTTATTTTACAAACAAGACAAAGCATGGCACATCTTATATCTAAATATATGTTATAATATATTAGATACATCATATCATACATGTTTTGTGGAAAAGCAAATTTTCCTCACTTTCACAAAGCAAGTTCTCACACATGAGTGATGTAACCATGGTTTTATTGGTCCATGTTGGTTGACATTGCAACGCCACGCTGAGTATATTTTCAAAGAACTTGTACTGTTTAGAAAAATGATTTCAAACTTTTCAACTGTAAAGGTTTTATGCGTTCATATTCACATTTGAACCTCTAAAATGAACTCATTTCAGGAGTCAATGAACAATGAAACGTGCTCATTTTAATTAGGACTCTTACGAAATGAGTTCCTTAATTAAATTCCATTTTCGATTAATATTTGGATGATAGCTGTATTTAGAGTGACCTAATTACATCTTAATCTACAAAACAAAAGTGCACTTTTGTCAAACTTTGACACCCTTTTCTTACTTACTCAACATGAATTAGCCACTCTTCGCTTTGGATCACCAAGGAATTCAAGATTGCAGCATATTCCACTCCTTAAGAAGCCACTTCCAAGGAACTGAAAACATACACCCTTCACCCCAATAAATTCAAAACCTCTCAAAGTTGTGGAATTGGATACACAGAGTTACACACAAAGAATTCAATCCAAGGATTTGCAGAATCCTCCCTGCCCCACTGTACCTGCCCAACCTTTGTCATTTTTTGCATAAAATGGCCACTCTCAGACTTGAATCCTGTAGTCTCACGCTTGTCTCCTCGAGGTTTAACCTTTGCACGGAGCAATGGCCCTTGTTGTGGGTCTGGGACTAGTGATAGTCTTGCATCATGATAGGAATTGAAAGGCATTTTTGTTTAGTAGTTGTTGTCTTCTATCAAATCCTTAGGGGCCTACGAACAGTGTTTTTGGCCACTCGTTCCAAAGTAATCTTTAATGCTAACAGTAGGCATTTAATAAATTCAGTCCCTATGAAAGTAATTGAATTGACCAGACCCTGTGCCAACTTCCAAGGTTAAATGCCAAGGAAAATGAGACAAGGTGACCCTTCTAGCATTAAAATTTGGCAGTATTCTCTACAGTCCTTTCATGGACGTAAAATGCTTGCCTCTGTCTCTAGCTATGAATAAGAGCCGACTGGAATTAAATCATCTAATTAAGATTGTTCCATCACTAGACTTCAAACTATTGAATCTATTCGTTGGATGTTCTTATCAACTTGTAGAGCAATTAAAGACCAGTGGTTGGCTGTTTAATGTGTTTCACGGCAACTTACTTTGACAAGTCTAATTTGTTTTTTCTCAAATGATATTTCCAGCAAGCTGTGGAAGAAATGCATGTTGTTCATCAATGTTTCCTTTGTCTAATCTTGGGCTGACTAGAACAAGTTAGAAAAACAAGAATTATCTGTTCTAGCTAGTTTGTTAGAAAATAAAAACCTATTCAGGGACCTCATTTAATAGGTTAAGCTTTCCCTGAGATGGTATATCAAGTGGTCTACTGTTCGATCCTCACTACCCCATCTTAATTAATGAGTTTATGCACAAAGTATGGATGGGCCTGTTCTTGTCCATGCTTCTTCAAGCCCAAGAGGCTTTCGCATGAGGGGGCGTCTTAGAGACTAGAAACCTATTCAGTGACCCAACCTAATAGAGAGAGGTTTAATAGTGGCTTAGATTCCTTGTCATGTCAAGCATTTCTTTGTAATGCCAGACAAAAGACCAACAGGTGAGGTCGAAAAGAGTTGGCTTGGTGCTGAAGGAACTTATTTCCATCCGCAGGAATGATCTGAAATCTGATCCAATTAAGCCATATTCAGATCTGAAATATATATAAGACCAATTGTAATTAGTCAGGTTTAACCCAGATCCATCCCAATCCAATCTGAGTAAAATTCAAATTGGACAAATTGGTTTATATATTGTACTTTACAGACCAAACTATGCATGACCGCCAAAATTGATCAATGCCGGCGAACTATTGGCGGTCTTTCTTTCCCGGTATAGCCACCATCGGGGAAAATCATGACCGCCGACAAATCTGTACAAAACTGCCGGCCTAGGTGGCATCAATTTGGACTCCTAAATTAAGTATTGTCGGCGGTTTGTCAGAATTGCCGCCTTATCCTTTATTATACCGGCAGTCATAAACTGCCGATAAAGTAAAAAAAATAAATAAAATTTTAAATATATTATAAATATCGACATTACAAACTGCCGGCATGATTTTTAATTTACATGTGTGCCGGCAGTGTGTAAAGCACCGGCATAGACACAAGGACCGCTGGTGTAGGTTTTGGTAAAAAAAAGCCATACTATTTTAGGTGGCGGTTGGAACCGCCGGCTTTAGTTTTGTCAAAAATTGGCATTCTCCTTCAGCCGGCGGTCCAGACCGCCAGCCTAAATTTTGCAAAAGATTGTCCTGCTCCTTTTAGTGGCGGCCTGAACCGCTGGCTTAGACCATATCTAAGTCGCCATTTTAAGCCTTATGTATAGCTACGCCGGCAATTAGATGACCGCCGGCTTTGATCAATATTTTTTTATATTATATTATCTTCAATAATTTTGTATATCTACACTTAAATAAAACAAACTTAATATACCACTATAATGCACCACTTGATTCACCACTATAATACATACTTAATACAACTTAAATAAAAGTTTAAATGTAAAACTCAATCTATTAATATAAAGATTGATCATTATAATATCGAAAACAGATTGTTCAAATACAATCTATTGATCTATGACAATTTATTGTTCCTTTGATCTCCGACTGTTACTGTCTTCTTCCCTTGATCTTTGGCTTCTACAACCTTCCTCGTATTGTTCATCTTGCTAGAATAATTGGAATGTTTCAGGGCAATCATCTGATCTGGGTTGAGTTTGATGAGAGTGCAATTAATGGAGCACATGCCTCTGATCTCATAGGCTTCTCTGTAGGGAGAAATATGGTCTTAACCTGCATGACCAAAATCAAGAAATGCCACCTTAGATCAGAAAAATGAGGCAATAAGTGTGACTACAATTGGAAGCTGTAAGCCTCCTGTGTAAAGCACAATATCTGTGCACAGTTCCCAAGCAGCAGTAAAGCGGCCAGCATCTTTACCTGAATCTGAGTACCTAACCATGACCTATCCACAATAACATTGTAAGTTTCACTAGCACTAGGACTTGACAAACAGAATCACTATGCCTTACTGAACGTTATCTTCCCAGCAGTATTTTGTATATTGATGCACCCATAGCCTCAAAGTGTCAAAGTTAAAGACAACAAACATTCATGACTAACTACATGACTACTACACAGGCCTTGGAGAAAAGTGAAAGGGGAATGGAGAGAATGAGGGCATAAAATTTGGATTAATTGAATTCTAAACGAAATTTGAAATGGCTATATTCAGAATAGAGGGCTTGCACATCAGAAAATTGCATTCCTAAGTGCATTCCCAGCAAACCTTCCGCCATACACGAGGCACCACTGTTGCAGGCATACTGAAATAAGGTTAGAAAATGTAACAAATCACCAGATTCTCACTACAATGAGAAAGCCAAGTGAACATGACCTCATCCTGCAACACTAAAAAGACCACAAACAAGTGCATAGGAGTTGCCTTCCAATGGCATCTGGATCTCCATATGTTGATATAGCAAAAATACAATAATGCAACCAAATGTCCACGGAATATGTGACAGCCTCAACTGCTCGCTCATATACCTCCACAACTTTCTCAATAGAACTCAGACGTCCCTCATGATCAGCATATTTCTTCCAGTAAACATAACACAAAGGGAACTCTGCTAAGAAAGCATCATAGACTTTCCAGATTTTTTATATGTCATCCTGCATACAATGAAAAATTATTTGTCTTAGACCTGCTAGAAACAAAAAGATTCTGAAATGCAAATTCACTTCCAATGATACCATTAGAAACTAACATATTGTGTTGAGCTCCCCCTCGGTAAGAAATTTCATCATGGTCTCCTCCTGTCTCTAATGTCATTAAATTGAACTTTTGGTGGCTGCAGTTTGCAATAAACCAGAAAATTTGGGAATATAAGCGTTCAAAGATTGTGATAGAGGCATCATACTAGCATTGTTGTTTGGACCCATTTCAACAATGGAAGAACTGATTACATTCCTACCAGGGATGTGAGCTAAACCCCCAAGTTATAAGAATTTGGTGGGGAAAGGGGATTAATGCAACAGTGGGATGGCTAAAAAAAAAAGACAGTTACAGGGGGGAATAACTGAGCATGTCCTTACCTTTTCAAGTCTGACCAAAAGGTGAAAGAATAAACAACAAAGGGGGAATAACTCAACTCATGTTGAAGAATCTTATTACAAAACAAATTTTCAAAAAGATGTCAAGACCTAGATTAAACCTGGACTGTTGAGATATACTTTCTCAAGGATTTTCTAAAAGAGATTATAGAAGAAGCATGCAGACATAAGAGACCAACTAACACCACTCTCCCCTATGAGTCATCATTAAATGCCTCCTTTATGTCAAAGTTTTGGCACACATTAGCTCCGCCCATATTCTACTTTCAGTTTAAGCTAGATCAGAGTGTTCTAGGGAGGAATTAAGTATCTTTGTAAGCTCTGTCATGAAGCCATCTTCAATTGTTAGATTACTTTCAGCATATGTTTTGTAATCATACTTTCTCCATTTTCTTTATCAATTATTTTCCTTTTTTTTTGAATTATTTGGATAATTTGATCAAACTCATTCTAAAGAGAAGAAACCCAACTCTTCAAATTTCCGGCATACCAATATCAAGTTAAATAAGAAAATGAGGCAAGGATTTTCTTTTGAGGGAACCAAGTTAAATAAGAAAATGAAATAAGAAGTATAGAAAGTAGGGTTTGGACAGAAACGGGGCAGGAAGTATGAAAAAGAATGAAACGTATACAACAAATCTAGTAGGCAAATCTAGCAGGCAAGTAGATTAATAACAAATCCCTATAGCAGCAGTTCCTAATACACCACGATTGAAGATTTTTTCAATCAGCATTTTTAGTGTATCATCTTGATAGAAAACCTAGCCAGTTAGAGTTTTGAAGTAGCACTCAACTTTTTCCCCAACCAATCTTTTGATGCTTCCTTAGATCAACCAAATTGGCCCAATTCCTAGACAAAACCTGCATTACTTTTATAAGCAGGAAAATATAGAATAAAACATTGTTTGTTTCTTTTGTTTTAGTTCTACTAGCTTGGATTAATCTCTAATTTTGTCAGATTTTTCAGGGTATATAATTTAACCAGCCTCCTTCCCCCCCCCCCCCCCCCAAAAAACAAAGAGACCATTGGGCTATATTCAACCCTTTCTCTAACTAGCAGCCCCCCAAGACACTCTAGTGGTTTCCTTCTTAGTATAATAAGAAGGCAACTCAAGGTAAGGAAAGAGAAATCAGATTAACCTATCTCGATGTTGGTATTACTTTAAATGGTATTTGAACCAAAAACATTGTTTTCTCCTTCAGTCTCCTAAAGAAAATAAAAGTTCAATGTGGTAATCATGACAACTTGGGATCATTCTGCACCCCCAAAAGAATGTCATTAAACTGTATTCTGGCTGCTCCCAAGACCCTGCATGGGAAATTTGACACCTGTACATTTRTACTTTTCCAAATATCATATTGAACTCAATTTACATAGAACATATCCAGTTTCTTGATGCAACATGCAGTGAAGAAGAAAATGTGAAGTTTTTAATGCTCAATGAAGCATGTGAAATAAACTTGTTATATGCCTCAAGTTAGATGTGGGAACCTAGTAAACATGTTACTTGCAACTCCAATCAGGATTAATGGCAAGTTATCCAATTGACACCTGGTGAGACACCTATGCAGGCATCTTTGGGTACTGGGCTGGGAAATTTGACACCTGGTGCATTGGGATGCTCCCCAGATCCAACTGCAGCAGTAAATGTGAAAAAGGTCATCAAAAAAAGTTTTATTAATAGTGACTCTAGGAAATTTGACGGTGCTCAATATAAAAGTCAAGTTCTTGAACATATCACCAAATTTAAATCCATCAGTGTCCAAACCCGAGGCAGACAGAGCTGCTATACAAGCATAAGGCCCAGGGATAGGAATAACAGGAATTTTCTCATTTATACATAGCTTTACCTGCACCAAGTAGAATAATTTATTTTCAGAAAATTATTCACAATAAATKWACTTTCCAAGTTCCAATTTCACTCATTAACTAACATGTAAGGCATTGCAAGATCCAACAAAAAATAGAAGAGTGCAGTGCAAGAAATTTCAAGTTTGTACTACAATATTACCTTGAGGAAATTTAGAACCTAACAGATACTCACCAGTTCTGTACCAGGGTCACTGATACTTGGTGACCCGGCATCACTAATCAGTGCCACGACATCACCCTGTTGCAACCTCCTCAATATTGTTTTTTCTCGTTGAAATTCATTGAATTTATGATAACTCAGCTGAAAACCTAAAGGTTGCTATTAGAAGAAATTCAAAAGAAAACTATCACTGCATTCTACATGAGATGAAGCCCACCAAAAGAAAACTATCCGACATGTTATACAATAGTTAAGTTTAATCCCAGGGCTTAGTAGTTTTTTGCCATCAATCCCTATTTTAATTAAATGAAAGGTGAAAGCGCAACTCTTAAGCTCTATCTCTATTCAATAATAAATATTTTGCAATGCATTTCTAAACATACATTCTTAAAGTCAAGATAGATTTCAAAAACATATTAAAGGCAAGCATATCTAAAACACGACTTCATGAAAGCAAGATACTAATATATACAGGGGTTCTAGAACCCACATTTACTATTATGGGTTAAACAACCTTAATTGACCAAATAAATAAGCACATGTATTCAATTCGCACAAGCATTGAATAATGGAAATGGAGTACCAGGAATGAAGCTTCGATTGAACTCCCTGTCTTCACTGCAAACTCTCTGGCTTCAAATCTTCAAAACGGTGGGTATTCGATTGAACTCTCTGTGTACACTTCAAAATGGTGGGTATTCGTCGCTTCAAAGTTCTAGCATTGAGAATGAAGGACACGAAGTAGTTCCCTGAATCGGTCAAAAGAGAAGGATATATAGGCTCGAAGAAGCAAGAAGATAATGGCATGAGATTAGGGATTTAGTTCTCTGAATCGGTGGATCGGTAGAGGAAGAAATGGCATCGAGATTCATGGAACCCAAGATTTTTTTAGCGAGGGATTCGTCGTTTGGCATTAACGACCCCCTCTCTTGGCGCAACTTAATCGTTTTGGCGGGACCCCTAAAATTATATCTCAATTTTTATTATTTTTAATTTTATTTGCCAATAAAAAACGCCGGGATGTGTGGTGTGTTAAGTGATAAAATTTGACCGCCGATTCCTAAACGGGTCATTTTTTGTTCGAATTTGCCGGTCTTTTTCCGACATTAGATAAGGCCGCTGGAAGAAAACCGCCGGCCTAAGCCGTTTTTCTTGTAGTGGGTAGAGCAGAATACTTCATACGCATAGTAGGGACCTCAACATAAAAAAAAAAAAAGAGGAAATAAAGGGAATAAAATAGTCTCAACTAACAAAGTGTTTTCTAGGACGTCAGGTTACTGCTACCCGTTGCTTAGTTCAGAAAATCAAGGAATTTCTCATCCTCTAAATAGTGGAGACCAGTAGTGTCTGGTGACAAATTTGCTGCTTTGGTTCACAAAATCTTGACTTGATTAGAAGATAAAATGCAAGTCCAAGATCAAGGTTTTCCTTTGGAAAACAACTGTAGAAAAAAATTCTGCTTCCATTTCCACTAGAAAGCTAAGAGAGGGTTTATAGCTTTCCCAATATGTGGTACGAAAATTTATCAGTCAACACTTGTTCATAAGCAGGCCTGCCATATAATTAAGGTAACCTTCAATTCAATAAATAGCTAGGTGTCTCTATTTTGTGGCCTTTTAATAGTGGAATAACTGAGGAATGAAGCAATTGAAAAATCAAAGCATCATCCCAAAATTAGCTTATATATGGTTCATTGGTTATGTAGAAACTTAGTATATATTAATTAAAATGGAGGATGTGATGGACACTGTTATTTGTATCTAAAATGACTGCTACTTTTGCTTCATTTACATTTACTAAAGTCAATACGAATAGCTTTCTGCTCATTGCTTCTCAAACCTCTTTCCAATTCCAAGGCACCAACAAGGAAAATGTCTTGTGCAGCTTTCCAAATGCATGCAGGACCCTGAAAGATAGAAGTCTTTGAGTAAGTAAGCCTGCAGATCTCTTTAGAAGAAATTGAATTGGGTTCATGCCTACTTCCACATATGAGAGGAAAAAAGACATGGTCACCATCTTTTGCCTAATCCATTTAATTTATGATTAAATGGCTATTCTTTTATACATATATAAAATAAATTATCTAATCAAGGACCTATCAGTAAATTGTAGTGCATTGAAAAATGAGAGCACCACCTCAAAATTTGCCTATGGAAATGTGGTTCATTTAAATTGGCTTTTTGCCATCTTCCAAATCGAGCATTCTTATCATACATAGAATGGGGTGGCCCTCTCTTGCCTTAACGTTTTCATGCGTGTCAAAATGCTTATTCTTTCACACATGGTGATAACGAAATTATCTAATCAAAACCTACCATCACCTACCTGTAATTTGTAATTTGTAGTGAAGTGAAGAACTTAGGTTATGTTTGGTTTGAAGGAAAAAGGAAGGGAACAAGATTTGTAAAGGTTTTCTTTCCTTTCCTTTCCCTACTTTTTCCTTCGTACCAAACATATATAGCTTTAGTGTCTGAAGCTGCCTAACCAAATTTTTGAGCTATAGATCAACGTTTAGGGTCCAAAGAGGCAAAGATTCTTTTATGGTCCAACACATTGAAAAGAATATCTCTTGCTCGTCTGGTGGACTAAGTAACATAAAATCAAATCAAGAGCTAGCAGGGCAGCTGAAAAGCTCTGTAGTTCCTGTTGGTTGTCAGTAGAGTTGGGATGGAATCCCCATCCCCCCTTCACCATCCTTGACACAGAGCCTCTTGTTGTCTTCAGACTGCCCATTCCAGATTTCTGGTTTGGTCTGGCTCCTCCAGATGGGTCTGGTTCCTAATTAATCTGACTCATCCAACTCAGACCCATCGATTTTATCCAACCACTTGAGAAACGGGATAAGAAAAACATGGGTGCCATTGAAGGTGTACCTGTGTTTTGATGTGGTGAATGGTCAATAAATTGGGTGTTTGATGCAAATGCAAATGGAGATCCTATGTTGACACTTGACAGACAATCAATCATGCATACTGCTTTAATTTTATGGTTACGCTGATGAACTGAAGCAATTAAAATGGAGTTGATGGCTTGATGAAACCAATATGCATGCATGTTCTCATCTGCTGCCAAGAATTGTTCATCAAATGGGGGTTTCTGATCAGTTTTATCTTTGATTAAATGGAAATCTGGTGCATCTGTTACAAAGAACAGTCATGTGGCAACGGAATATATTGTATTAATTGCATGGATGGAACTTAATTGGAAACAACCACCACGAAATCTTCCTATGCCCGTTGATCAAATCCTACTGCTGATACCAAAGGTGTATAGTTGAAACTTAATTATTAGGCCATGTTTGGTTTCATAGTTAATAAGAGAGAAACAGAAAGTTGAGGGAAGTTCCCTCAATTTTCTTTTTCTCTCTTATTTTCTACCAAGCCAAACACAGCATACGTTGAAAGATCACGATATATGCATACAATACGTCTACTAATTACTAACTATTATATATGAATCAATTATCATTCCTTCCACGAGTTTTCATCTTGACCTGCTTTGAATCTCTGATGCCATATATTTCGTATTTTTTAAACACAAATTATTATTAAATATAGATATAAAAGTATTTATTAAATTATATGCGTATTTTAAATATAGATATAAAGTATGCCAAACCTTTTCATCATCTCCCATTGTAGAAAATGAATTGTACTCTGATTTTTCCCTCCCTTTGTCAAGCTAATACTTTGAACCTTGATTTGATTTTGAACTCTCAGTCTCACAACTCCTCCGAGGAATGATAGTAAACCTATCTCATTCATCCTCCAAAAGGGAAACCTTTGGCACGTTAAGGCTGTGTTTGGCTTGAAGGAAAAGGTACGTAGGGAAATCTGTATGAAGTATTAAACCTTTCTTTGCCTTTCCCTTCCTTTCCTTCACCACAGTGATGGATACGTCAGCAAAGATAGACTCCACGTCACAATAATGACAGAGAATAAAACTCTCCTTTTATTTAACCTTGAAACCTTATCTCAATCTGGAAGAAAAGAATATAAAACTTTATTCTGATGTCCGAGCCCAAATCCTACGTTTGACGTTGGCCCATGACATGGGTTAGGGCAACAGAAAAGGTTCCAATAATACATGCAGAACAGCATCAGTCTCCATCTACTAGCTGAATGAGGGTGGTCAATTTTGTATTGTTAGCCAATGCGACTAGGATAGGATAGGATAGGATAGGGATAGGGAAGGTAAAGGTATCCAAAGTTGAATTGTTCATATTTAGATTCAAACCGATTCTTATCCATCAGAAAATATTAGATTCAAGGTTCCAATAAGACATGATACCGCAAGGGATTTGACCAATAATCACCTGATTGGTTTCTTACCAGTTGATTGATTACAAGTTTTTCCAGTATCATAGATGAACATTTTTACATTTAAATCGAATCCAATGGGATAGTAGGGGTGAATTATAAATAGATCGAATTCATATCGTTTAACTAGACCAAATTTGGATTGGGATATGGATAAACGGATAATATTTGTAGCCCTAAGGCTTCCACATTCCAATGGAGTTTCCTGCACACCTAACATGATTAGTGGAACTTTCTCTGCACATGGAGCCCAGCCAAAAATCTGCCTTCGTTCACACTCCTATAAGTATAACCACTGTATTGTTCCATTCACACCGAAGACCATATACCAATTAGTAGAGTCCAGCCCACCAATAACATTCCGACATGGGTGGAAATAGGCAGCCCTCTTTGGAACAAAATTATATTTAATTAACCCTTCTCCCCATTTGCACAACATCAACAAACACATGAACGAATTTCTTTGCTCTCATTAATTTGTCGAATCTCAAGTTCAGGCTTAATTTGCCCATACAACAAAAAAAAAAGAAAAAGAAAAAATATGAACAAAACAATAACAACGGAATTTCTCCTCCCCCTTTATACAGCCCTACTTTTGAGATTTACTTTTTGGCCATGTACAAAAGATGAACCAATGATACAGAGTTACAGACAACTTATCCCTCCCCCTTTCTACCTGTAAAGGTACATTTTGCAGCAGCAAAGAAACACCGAAAGACGCAAGTCATGAAGACCACTGATCAGGTACAGTATGGAAATAGGTAGTCATGGCTTTTCTAAATCTTTTCTTGTATTGTTTGGGTGAAATAATGGTTGGAGATGCATTTTTAGGGCCACCAAGAATACCTGATGCCTTCACCCATGTCTCCAAATGTTTGTCCCATGTATATTGCCTCATGAAGTCAATGATCCCTATAACCAGCTCCTTTTGATCGTTATCCACTCCAACCAGTAACGAGTAATCCATTACATCAACCGACTGAAAGTATTGAAGCCAAAAGTAAGAACGAATGAAATAACATACAACTCATGATAGATGCATATGCACAATAAAGAAAGGACTCAAAAAGTTTACCGCTAGAAAAGATGTATCATTCCAAACTGCCCTCTCTAGGCTTCTCTTTGCCTTGCTCCCAAGAAATATAGGTTTTGTACGAAGTGCTTCCAACAGATTCATATCTAACAGCACATTGTTCTTCCCTGTTGTATCTGGATTATAACGAGATCGTGCAGAGCCCTTGAGATCATACACTCTCGAAATATTTCTCTTGTAAAAGAGGTTCTCCATCACCATTAAATCCATTTTCATTTCTTTCCCACCTTTCAAATGCTTAATAGAGACCTGTCAACCCCATAAATAGGAGTTAAGATTACCATTATCATATTCCAAACCCAAGACAAACAAACAAAATGAAGCCTTACCTGATAAATACCGAGGACTTTAGCAAGACAAGTTGGACTTCCTGAAGTAAGAGAATCTATCAAATATTTGAAGTATTTGGGTGCAAATTCCTCAAAAGAATCCAACTCTGTCTTTGTGACTTGTTTGACAATGAATCTCTCATCTAATGATTTGGCAAAATATGCATTGCTCTTCCCACCCTGTGCATGCCATCTCTTGCAACGACTTAGTGAACGTATGAAATCCACTTCACTAGGGCAGCATTTCTTCCTAAGAACATGAAACTGCTTTGCAAAATAACAGGTCACAGAAAATTTCACTTTGCTACCAGGAGATGATGACTCATCCCCAAAAGAAATCCTGAGATGAGGAGATTTTTTGGAATCTGAAGGCAGGCTCCCTATCGATGATGATCGGTCATCAAATCTATAACTTATATAGTGGTGATCGTCTGAGTCCAGAGAACCAAAGGATTGCCGGGCTGAAAATTCTGAACCTGATACATAAAGATAGCCTGAAAGACTACTGAGTTCATCCTCTTTACTGTTGTCGTTTACACTCCAGCCTCCTCCATTCTCACTTGACTTACCAGCAATCCAATCATCATAATCTTTGCAACTAAGAGCATAAGATATTACACTGGTGGGTTCACTGTCATAAACAGCAACAACTATGTTATTATGGCCTGTTTGTGGAAGTAGTAACCGAACCCCTTCACCCGCCATGCTAGATGCTGAGGTGATGAATGAGGGTGGAGAGCTGAACATGAAGTTCAAGTTCTTGGCTTGCCTTGGCAAGACTTGAGGATAGGTCTTCAGCATATTTGGAATTGGATCTCTAATCATACTCCTGTAATCTCCAGATGCATGGAAAGATTTAACAGAGGTCAAACGCAAGGAAGTAGGGGACTGTCCTTTGCAGATTCTTTCTTGAACTCTTAATGCAGAATCAAATGAATACACTCTAACAGGGGACATGAGCCTTCTGTAAGATTGATTATTCATCTGATTTATAAACCCAGCTGAACCAGTTTGGTGCCTATCTGTTTGGAAGGGTTGAAGTAACTGAACTTTCATTGGTTGTTTACCTGTACCAGTCCATGCTAAATCAATCGTCTCAGAAAGATTGGATGTAGGTGATGGAATGCTCTCCATGGATACCTTCTGGCCTGTAACTTCCCCATCTGCATGCATTCTATTCAGCTTGTGAAGATGGAATGTAGCCAGCTCAAGGTCTTCATGACCATAATCATCGGTGGAATTTGAAGAATCTACTTCGGCAGGTTGATTTTTGGTAGGCTCAAGATATTCTAAACTATGTTCTTCTCTATGTTCTGAGTATAAGGCATGCTTAAGGTTTTTGACCAATGACTTTGAGCTATTTTCGTCATGAGCACAACGAAACCTTCCATCTTTACGAAATGATTCACTTTTCAATTCTGCCATCTTGGAACAAGTTGCAGCCTCCTGCATACGGGAATCAACCTTGGAAATAGAACTCTTTACTCCAAAGATAGAATTCAATGAACATAGGCGGCGGTCCCATATGTAACAATCAATAAAGAGGTAGCGCCTCAAGCGATTGAGTTCTAAAATGTCTACTGCTATCTGACCTGGGTGTATATCATCTAGGCGAGCTGGTTGTACCAAACCCTGTTAAGACAAACATGGCATAGATAAAATGAGGTGGAATGCATGGAATGTGAATGGAACTTTATCTTTAGTTTCTAATTTTATTTATTTTTATCAGTAACAGAATCAAAAGAAGCTTGTTATATAGAAACTATGTGAAAACTCATAAAGTCCATTAACCATTTAGACTAGACAAGACAATATAGTAGAAAAACCTGACAAACCAATTACTAAGCGAATGGAACTGTATCTGTTTAAAGTTAAGTACAACAAACAATAAACAAGCTTTCTGTTAATCTATTAGGTACTTACATCATATTCATGTCTCTCCTTTTTCAACAAATCTTTCAGCTCCATAATGTGATTGTGAAACTCGCTCTTGTTTGTAGGTTCATGTCCAAAAGACATACCTTTCTGTTCAATGTTGTGCAATGCATCAAATACCTCAGTGTATAGAAGTTCCATTTTAGTCAAGAGCTGGGAAAGAAGAAAAATGTGTTACTGCTATGGAATTTTCCATCAGAATTTTACAAATAGAATTAATATAGTGATGGACAGTAAGATCATCCACTATTTGTAGTGGTTGAAGAAATACACGGTGAATATGAAATCACACATTTGGGTCTAGCTGACAACATTGTAATTCCATATTTAGCATCATTAAAAAGAATTCTGGGAGAAGTTTTAATAGCACACCTCTACTGCCTCTTGTCTAACCCACTCTTGTTGAATGTGACCATTAAATTCCAGCATTGAAGGAGGTAAACAAATGGAAAGAATATCAATAGGGGAATAACGGAAAAATGCAACCATGCTCCCAAATCTGCTCATTAGAAAAAAAAAATCAATAACCCCCATCACCAAGAATATAGACAAGAAATACCAATTTGACAACACATACCCATAGTAACGCAGGCAGTCCCTTTGCAAAGAATGACCACAACTTGCAACACGATTAGCAGTAGCATGATTTGAAAAGCTAAGCTCCAAGAACTTTCCGAAAGAAAGTCCCCATGCAGCATCTGACATAACAACTCTACGTGCTGCGGGTGGAACCCCATCCTTATATGCACACTTGAGGCATCGATGCCACATCCAGATCTTTCCATCACACTCCCCAGGTAGCTTTAGTGAGGGAAGGCGTCTAACATTTATTGTAAGGCTTCCCTGCTGGTGGGTATAGCATCGGACATGGGCTTCTGCAGGCTCCTTACAAGATCGGCATAAAGATGTCTGCTAATAACGAGTACAAAAATTGATGAACCAGTTCCAAAATAGGCACCCAAAACCATGAAAAAAATGCAATGAAAGTAGGACAAGATACCTGATCAAACAAGTCATCACGAAGAAATCTCCCCAGTGGCTTATCAAAATTGCCATAGAATTTAATGCGCAAGAGCTGAGAGCGTTCACAAACAGTTCCTTTCAGAACACAACGGCTTGAGAAGGAGACCAATATGCTCTGATGTTTTTCAGCAGCTGAGAAAATTTCACCAGAGACTTCATCAGTCCCATCAGTCTTTGGGAGCTCATGGACTTTCCCAGGGTGCTGATAACTTCTTGAAGCAATTTCCTCGTCTTGAATCGAAGTTTCCAATGAATCATGTTGAGAACGGTCTCTAATATCCATAACCACATGATCACCGCTTACATGACACTGAGCCTTTCTAATACTATAGCGGAAGCAAGAAGATGAGGTAGAAATATTGACAGGATTAAAATGCTCACGAAATTGGTCTTGTTCTCTAAGTTTCAAACAAAGGCCAACTGAACCCTCATCTTGATCCAGGGCATCTGAGCTTACACGAGGGGATGATGCCTCTAGCATGTTGCCTGCAACCCTATAGTAGAGTTCATCTGTAGAAGACACAGCTGAACCAGAGACTAGAGAAATAGACTTATCAGCATTCACCATCCTTTCTGGTTTAGAAATTGAGGGGCTCAATGGAATTTTAGGTAAGGTTGCACCCTCATCAGCAAGGAAAGACGTCTCTAGGGACAAATGATAAGCTGCAAATACAGCATATTGAATGACATGTTTAACCTTCTTTAGTTCCTCATGACACGTACCCTTGAGAAGTACCTATAGAAAAACAGTAAATCAATTAATCAAAAATAGTGCCAATGGTTAACCATTCCTTTTAACAAAACCGGTATGCAGAAACAAAGAATATAATAGATTAACAGGGAAAAGGTCTATAATAAACAAGGCTCCAACATAGTTCAAGCAGGGGAAACTGAGGTACATCAACATGATCTATCAACTTCCGCAATCTCATGCACTTGATGAAAAATTTTCTAAAATGCATACATGCATGGAGGCATATGTGCTCATATGATGCAGGTCACACTTTGTAAGCATATTAAACCGAGTTTTCTATTTTTTTGATCATTAACAGTTAAGTTTAATTATTATGAATGAAAGCATATCATATACATAGAAGTTTGCCTTGCACCCCAGATATTGACCTAGATCATACTAGTCACTCATCATTTCCTTTATACCAACCCTTCTTGGGGATCAGTCCCTAGCAGAACTGATTTCTATTAACCTATTGTCTTGCTAATAACCCATCTTCCAATGCATTAGCAGATCATGGAACTGAACAGTGACTAATTCTCGTCATGGTTGTCTAACTCAGCAAGATGAAAAGATGGACAGGCACATGGGTATACAGAAGAATGAATAATAGGAGAA